TAGAATGTCTTCACGTGTTCGAGTAATTGCTACACAATAACGAAAGGTGCAGGGTATAATTCAATCGGTTTATACCGACTGAAACGTTTTTACTTGTTTGTACTTCATTCGACACAAAATAAACATTGGTTGTATGCGAATATTTTTAAATTTTTTTTTTTTTATTTTAATATTATTATATTGCGTTCCTTACGAGCATATCATTGGAAAACAATGCAACAAGCTCCATTTTTTTTTTTATGAATTAGCTCAGATTATTGCAATATTATGTAAAATAAATAAATATTTTACAATTTTACACTACAGCATTATTATTTATGCAATTTGAATAAAAGCAAATTTTGAACACCTTTTTCTTGTTATTTGTTTTTTCTCTTTGCGAATGAATTGCTGAGGGTGATTTGCATGCAAAAAAAATAAAAATATTCATATATAATTTTTATGCATTTTCAAATCTAAAAATATATTTTAAATCCATGTTGTATGTTGAAGAAGGCATTGGTTGTACAAAAAAAAAAATAACAAAATATATAAAAAAATAAATAGGTGAGAAAAATAACGTTTCTCTTTTTAATAACATTGCAAAAATATGTAAAATATTCTTTGTAACATTCACTCTGGTATCAATTTAAATCAGTACCACGACACGAAGATTTTATATAATGTAAGTACATATGTGTGAATGATGAATATTTAAGAATTCTTTAAATGGGATAAAAGATATACAATTTAATAAAAAATATAATATATGAAAAAATAGAAAAAAAAATTAAGATTTAAAAAAGATTTTCTTTCCCTTTTACCAGCAATCCAATCTTTTCCAATTCAATGCATTTTGAATCACTATGTAAATTTGCACTTTAACATGAATAAATTATCATATAGTGAAAGAATTCCATTTATCATTATAATTTCTATACATAAATAAATATAGATACATTTAAACATATTCATATAAATACAGGGTACTTATAACATTTGAATTAATTTCGAGGAAATTGAAAGATCCACGTTCCGTAGCGAATACATAGTTCCCCAGTATTTTTCTTCCTCACAATTTCCCAAAAATTGTACTGAGGTCTCCTCAACCTACCCTCGAAATCTGCATGCTCCCTCACTTTCTTAGCCTAATCTCGTGAGGTGATGCTTACAATGTTCGTTAAGACACCGGTTGATGTTGCTGCCGTCCAACCTCATGACCTTATCGTCGAAGTCATGGAATACCCCTCCAGTGCTCTTAAAATCCTTTCCCCATTTCCTTTTTAAATTCTCCACGAACCGTATATGGTTTTTTTTTTGCAGAAACACAAGATTATTTTTTTCAAATTTTATTTTCTTATGTTTCTGAAACATTTTGTAATATTGATAAATATGCAAACAAACAACATATTGTCGAGTCTTGGACGAAAAAAATCAACGAGGAATACTGGCAAACCAACTAATGCTAAATCTACAGACTAGTTTGGTTGAAGAAAATCGCCATTTTCTCTATTAAAACTTTTTAACAATGAAAACTCATAGTTTAATTGTGTTCTTTCCCACATATGCTAATGGAATTGTTTGCATTTGACAGCTGTCAACAGTATCATTTCAACATTGAAATTTAAAAATACTAGACTGACAGGAAATTTAAAATCGAACACCCTATACTTATATATATTTGCATAATGAGGAGAACATTTTTCAATGTTGGAATATTAATAAACTATGGTTAAATTCTTTTAGTAAGAAAAATACTATGATACTTAAAATACCCTTATTGTATATTGTTTCGATAAAATAATAAAATTTAGTGTTATACACATTCGATGTTATCGCACAAAAAAAAAATATTAATAATAATGAAGGCGTTAACACATTTAAAATTCTAATATAATTTTTTTTTTTGTAATATCATTAAATTTTCTTCTATTGTTTCGGGTATTTGCTATCGCGTTCAAGACAAATTGTTTTCGTATATATAGGAATTATTATTTTTGCATACAGAAAATATTATTGTACCTAAAATATAGTTGGTTTTCATGTTGTTCTTAAATAATTAATTAATGAATGTTATTCTTGATTAATTAATATTAATAATAATAAAAATAATGGCCTTTCTTTTTAACAATAATGTGAGATTTTTAGGTTCTTATTATTTTTGATATACAAAATATTGTTCTTATAATATCTCTTTTCTTACCGTTCGTTTAATTTAAATAAACACATATGTGTATCCCAATTGTGTATAACAGTTATAAATAATTTATTTCTAAATGAGAGGGACTTTTAAAAAAGGAATTAAAATAATTTATCATTGAATTTTACATTTCCGTTACAGACTTAAAGTTATATTGAGCACGTTTGTTTTACCTATTTTATATGAGAAATCTGTTATACAGTTGTAAAAATTGATCAATCATTGTTTAAATATCAATTGTAATGTTATTTTCATATAAAACTATTAATATACCTGGTCTCACAGTTACCTATTCCTTTGTATAACTTGGTATAATTCAGGACTATCATACGTTCTGGAAAACTATAAATAGAGTGCCAAGTTTGAATTAACCTATCAATATTTTGGATTATTCCATTCAAAATTCAGTTTTAATCTTTTAAATATTAAATAACTTTTTTTTCGAATTTGAAAATAATAATTGTTTTTTTTTTTTTATTTTCATTTCAGGTAACATAAATTTGATTAATTAATTAAAATGAATTGCGGAAAACAATACGTACAAACATATTGCACACATAAAATTCACAGTATACACATATTGTGTTGTGTATTGTGATTAACATGTGAATCAATAAATAAACAATAAGTCGTGGTTAATTAGCTGATTAAATTTAAGTCAAACAGCATTGCAGTAAATGACGAAATATTCAGGTATAATATGTTGAATTTTTATGTTATTTTTTTAAATAATTTTGAATTTTTGATTAATGGAGTATTAAGAAAATTGTATTTGAATTACATACTTGAAGGCGTCTGTCATATAAAATTTCTTTGCAGTATACGATTGAATATTCAGAACAAAATTTAGTTGTTAAGTTCGTCTGTTATCAATCTATATGATAACACAGCCCTATTAACTCCAATATTACGGCCCGCCAACTAAAGCTTGTTAAAAAATAAAAAAACTCAATATTAAGCAAATTCATGCACCCACAATTTATGAATAAAAAATTTTTAAAAATTTCTTATGAATTATTACAAAAAAATTAAAATTTTAGAAAATCACGAAGTTAATTTCATTTTCAATTTATTAAACAGTTTGATTTCATGCTTTCTTACCATTTTTTCTGTACTTAATTTAAATTTTTATACTTTTTTTAAAGTATATATATGTACATGCATGGAGCTCATAGTTTACATATCTATACAAGCATATATACAAACTTACTCATTAGTCATTAATCACTAATATATACATAATCTCTGCTCATAAAATTAAAATAAAATTTTCATAATTTGTGGAAAAACTTTATGCAACATTTCACATGTGAAAAATTTTTTATTATTAATTATATTCTCTCCATATTTATACCAAATACAATCAAACAAACATCATATGTTTTGGTTTCAATGCAATCTTAATAACAATACATACATAAATAATTATGTATATCAAAAACCGCAAATTTATTATGCGAATATTAAATAGTGAAAATATTTTTAAATGATATTCAAAAAAAAAAAATGCATAATTAAAAAATTTTATTTATTTAATACTAAATGTCATTGTGCTCTGAGAGTACACAATTTTTATATCTCTTCTTAAAACACTCATTCTTTATCAAATATTTCGTGAGAGAGAATTTTTTGAAGATTGTAAATTTTGTAATAAATCTGACTGATTAGTTTGTGTAAAATATAAAACGAATTAATTTTCTATGAGATATTCATGATTAATGTCAATTAATCATTTTATTTCGTGAATATTTTCCTTTCAAATCACAGTGAAAAATAACATTAATTTGATTGAATTGAGTGTAAATACAATTTGAACAAGTTTGAGAAGCTAATGTGTATGATAATGTCTTTTTTTTTTTGATCGGGTTGTTGCGCGAAAATATCTGGTTGCAAATAAAATATACGCAGTTTCAAATTGCTCTCGAGCTCTGCAAATTAGGACTATTAGCAGATTTCTATTAAAACTTTTGAACTTCCACTACCTTGCTTTTGTTTTGCTAGATGTCAACAAATTTTTGATAAATTGATAATATTTTTTCCATAAAAATATTCGCGCATTCCTCTACTTGATCGCTTGATTTCATTAAATGTATGCTGAAATGAAAATTTATGCGCCGATAATATTTAACGTGAACGGCGAAAATATAAGTCTCTCTAATAAATTTTCTATTGATATTCTACAAGCAAACTGACAGTTCATTTATCATAACCCTGGGTTTTTGATCAGTTTTTGCAGATATTTCTTTGGAAGGAGATTGCGGAATATATTATGTGTACTTGCCGTACTTTAACCAGTAACAATAAACGTCAAATTTATTGAACAAATCTCGCAATTAGTCAAAAAAAAATATGAAAAATTTTGAGAATAACGCTTATTATATTTTCTCAATGCATTTATTTAATTTTTATTTTTCTCAGAGTAACAAATACTAATATGTTTATTCCATACTTTTAATAATATAAACATATACATATACATATAATAAAATTTTAAACGAAAAGGTAATATGAGAGCAAAACAAATAACAAAAAATAACTGCGATAATGCAATTATAAACACCTGTAAGATACGATTTACAAACAAATTCTGAACCATAATATGAAAAAAAAAATACTAATACACATATAATATTATTAATACCACTACACTAACACATTATTTATAATAGTAGTAATAAAAGAAAATGAAAAATAACCTTCTCGCGCAAAACTTCAACCAAACTTATCTCTCAACTACATATGGATGGATTTACTAAAACCAGTAGAACAACTACAATTACCTAAATACCTTTTCAGTTTACCTAAATACTCGGTTATGGTACGATCAATTTTTTTTTAAATGTGAAAAGCAAAAATATAGCGGTAGATCGTGCGCTTGAAAAATTTATACGAGAATTTCGGCAAAAATTTAATTTTGAAAAAACGACGACGACGAATTTTATTTTTTATTTTAACAAAATTTATTTAATAAAATTTCGATCGATATTTTTATTCTTTTTTATGTATTTTAAGAAATTTATTATTTAAAAAAAGAAAAAATTAGTTGTTCGTGTTATTTACTTACTTGTTATTTAAAAAAAAGTATATACACACTTTATTTACTTTAGTGAACGAACAACACTCTTGTTTCTACAATAAGTGTAAATACCAAAGATACAAATTAAAAAAAATTATATAAAATATATAAAAAATTGGGAAATTTATTCTAAAAAAAATATTTATTATAAAATTCTAAAATAAAGATAAAATAACGTAAATAAATAATTAAATATTTAATTTGAAAAAAAAAATGAAAATTAAATTGCTAATTTAATTAAGAAAAAGTTTTATTATTTTGTATTCACAAAAAAAAATTATAAAAATATTCATTTAATGTGTGTGGTGAATTTCATAATTTTTGGTGTAATTAAAATTATTTTCACTCATTTTACTTAAAAATGGCATATTGCAATTACGAAGCGAGAAGAAATGCTCTCTTCTCTCTTCCCTGCTTCGTTCTCTTTTAAGTGTAACCAAAAATATTATAAGTAAACGTGTAGATTTGTTCAATTAAATTCAACAAATTTTGTTTTTGTTTTTACATTTTAAGTGATTATAATATTTATTTAATTAAAATTACCATACCTCAGGTAGGTACATAACTACATATACCTACAATACCTATACGCCATTGCATTGAAAAAGAAGAACATAATTGTGAGTCATGAATAGAAGATAACCGAGATATCTAGTATAGAAAATTTTAAAAATTTTTATTTCTAGAAAAATTTTATATTTTAGTTTTCTAAGTCATAAATGAGCATTCTTCGTGTGTACATACAGAAATACTTTGTGTATACGCTGTACTTGTAGTCACCATAAATGAAGTCTAAATTTTGTTTTTCTACTTTTGTTACCTAGCAAATATCTGTTACCTTTTTGTTTGAAACTATTATTTTTATCGTCATTGTTTTACTCTTCTTATGTTTTTGTTGTTTTTTTTTATATTTTTGTAAATATTAAATGTTATGTACCTATTTTATGATTTTTTTCCCATTATTTCAGTTCTATATATATATATATATACTTAGTGTAAGCATATGGTGTACTTATTATACAAGTACCTACTTATATTTAGTTATATTTATAGTACGGTTAGTATTTAAGTGATATTTTGGGTCAGATACCAATCCAACCATTATGAAAATAAAAATATAATTTTTAAATTGTTTTTAAATGTATTTTAAATATGTACAAGAAAAATTTTTTGTTTGAATTTTTTCAAAAAATAATAGTTAGGGTAATAAGATCCGTTATTGGTTTTAGAATTTCTTATAATTTTATTGTCACTAATCACTTTAGATTTTACATATAATTCTTACTAAGTTCGTAATTAAACTGGTATGTTCCTACAAAATGTGATTTCCTTAGAAATACGTATTCATAACGTTAGAAGGACGCATAACGAAGGACAAATTCTTAATTAAATAATTGTCTTATATACTTATAATTTAAGTAATCTAGTTAAAATTTGAAGAAGGAAACAGGAAAATCTCCATTTATTGTTATTGTTAGAAATATTCATAATTTTGAAATTACTCCCATAATCATAGCTTTAATAATAATATTGTTCTAGTCTAATTGCTGATAGTGGCTTGGATTAATAACTTTTAAAAATTGAGCAATGCAATCGCACATTTGAGCGATTTCTAATAATTTAAGACTAATATTCGTAATGTTTTCGCTCAATCATACTTAACACCAACAATATGTTGTAGACAAATATTTTGTCTCTGAAAATTTGTATGGTAAGAGAAACGGTCGTGTGCATGGTCGCGACTGCTTGCATTGACATCATAAAACACATATTTATATATGTATATGCTTAATTAAATAATTAATTGAAAATGAAATTTTTTTTTAAATACATGCAAGTATATTTACTTGGCAAAGATAATGAAAATAAAAATAATAATTAATGAACTTGTATTAGAAACAAAAAATAAGTTTGTGTTGTACAAAGTCTTGATATACGATAATTATATACCATTATTTATTTAATTTAAGATAAGATTTAAATAAATTTACATAATAAATGAATATAAGAAAAAAATTTATAAATTTGCATGAAAATTCAAAAAGCAAAAAAGAAAAAAAAATTTGCATGAAAAATGCATGTTGCATGAAACATCCTGATTTTACTAATTTATAATAATAATAATGTTTTTTTTTTCAAAGTTTTTCAAGTATGATAGCAGAATTGAAACGATATTGAACAACATGAGTATTTTAAGAGTAAGCAAGTCGAGAACAAGTTTGAAATAATCAATTTCTAATTTTCTTGTACTTATTTATGTATGTAAAACTTGTATCTGATTAGGTGGTATATTTACTGACAGGTTTTAATATGTAAATTAAAAATTTAATGTAAAATAAAATTTAAGTTAAGTATATTAAGTATGAAACAAAACATTTTTCTCAAATTGTATGCTATACTAGTATTAATAAGGCATAATATTTAAAGCATCGAACAAAATTTTGATAAACTTTTAGGTTTAAACGGTTTGAGCGATTTTTTTTGTCCGAAAAAATAAAGCGTTATCAAACAAATTGTATGAACAATGTTTGACGTTTTAATTCTTAAATTCCAGTTGAAATCCATTATTCTGTATTATTACATACATTCATTGCTCATTTTTACGGTAAATTACAAACATTTTTTTAAATTTTTTAGGTTTTATAACTATTTTTACCTAAAAAAAAAATATTAACTTAATTAACAATATTTTGTTTTGTTATCGATTCCCATTGTTGTTGGTTATGAATTCCAATAAATATTTGTATATTATTTTTGTATTGAAAATCGAAATCGTACAAGTGTTAATTAAGTGTTAATTGAATTGAATTTAGAATTTTACGGTAAAAACAATATATATATATATATATATATATATATATATATATAGGTAACTTATTTTTTTTCTTTAATAATAGATGAAAATAGATTAATTTAATTTAATACTAATATTTTCATTTTATTTATAAATGTTACTAATTTCTGCTAATATTTTACCATTTAGAAAATACTCGCATATTACATATACGTATTAGTAGAGACATCTGATGTCAAAATTATACATGATTAGTGACAAATTATTATGAATTTAACATTAATTATATTGTCAGATCAAAAAAGAAAGAAAAAGATAAAATTGAAATTACAATCTAATGCAAATAGTTTCGATATCGAATATATTGTTATATTATTCCAAAAAATTAAAACAAATATTTTGTTGACAAAATAATTTTGATAAACCTATCGATTTAATTGTTAATTAACAATTAATAAATTAGTAAATATGATAAAATTAATACTAATTACATATTTTTATTAAATTACTTTAGTTAACACAAATAAATATTTTAGCATTAAAAAACCGAAGAAGGAATTTATAAATACAACAATTACTGAATTTAGTTATTTTTTTACCACATAGTGAGGTAAAAATTCGTTCAAACAATTTAATTGCGACAAATCAACTATATACATAGGTGGATAAAATCATCGATTCGATAGATAAAATATAATAAAATTTAGTATGAATTCTAAAAAAGAATTTTATTGTCAAGCCCAAAAACTTAGTATTTAAGTGATTTAATTAACAAATTTTGCATGTTGCTTGTTATAACTAAATATATGTTGCATGTCATACATATACATATGTTGCATGTTATACAATATGTTGCATGTCGTTTATATATGTTGCAAATTACATACATGTTGCATGTTATACATATATGTTGCATGTCATACAAATATGTTGCATGTCATACAATATGTTGCATGTTAATATTAAAAATTATCTAATTAAATTTCATTGTTATAAGTACAATTCAATTTCTAAAGTTAATTTAATTCGAAAACAACCTGTTCTCTCAATAATGTCGAAACAAAAATAAAAAAAAAATAATATATTTTCAGTTTTATCTATGCTTAATGCAAAACATTATTTTTTTTCAACACTCTTTGAATAAAAAAAAAAGTGAATCTTGATTAAAATTTTCAAGTTGTGATAAAGATACTCGTAAGCACAGCGAACAAAAGTGATGACTAAGATTTAAAATTTACGTTTTTACTTAATTTTCAGTTTATTTTTAGGTTATCGGATACAAAAAATAAGAAAACAAAAAATATATAATCGAATTAAATTTGATTGTATTATAAATGACAAAAGGCCGAATATTTTATGAGAATAATACAATAGAACAACAAAAACAAAAAAAAAATCAATGAAATTCTAGATTTGATAAAGAAAACATTTGATACGATTTTTGAAATTCTTCTTTTATTACTAAACATTTTTTTTAGACACTTTTATTTATCGTTATCAAATCCTTGCATCGAAATTGATTTGATTACAAAATAAAAATTAATTAAAATTCCTTTATTACAGCCGTTTGAATTATAGGGTACTATAAATTTATCACCGCGTTTATAACACTGTAAAGGCAATTAACAATTAAGATTGAAATTCACCCAAAGTTTTACGAATTGTCGATTAAAAATCATAAGCGCAATTAAATTTTACGACAGTCTTGAATTGAAAAATCATTTGTGTCTCAATTAATTCTCCTAATAATTCTCTAAACAATCTTAATTCAAAGCAGGGCGATAAAAATGTTACGACAACTTCAATTCGGTTGTTGTATTCATTTACAGCGGATTTAAAATTTTGCCTACTTATCACTTTTACGATGATCACAGTTTTGGTGTTGCAGCGCTCCGGTAATATCAGAACTAAAAAAAATTTACATTGAAGATGAAAATTTTAACTTATACTGCAAAAATGCAGCCCTAGAATCTATTTTGTATAGTGACTTCTATGCGATAGAAATTGAAAAATATATCGATAAGGTAAAAAATGTTCACTTTTTCAAACAATTCTCACAGTAATGCTCATTTCTACTGGAATCACAAATATCATATTTAGTTTTTCACTTAGGTATTACAAATTGTTTACACTTGAATTTAATGAAGGGGAAAATCCTTGTACGTTTTATAAGTTCTTATTTTACTAATGAAATTGTGAATTCCCAAATTATTGTTAAATAAAAAAAGTAATATGAGGGTGGACAACTATGTATAGCTCAAAGAGTAATTGAATAAATTTCGATTAGTTACGAATTTCTTTAAAACAGAAAAATATTTTTCAACTTAAAACCATCAAATAGACCAGCTGTATTTTTCTTATTGTTATATTTTTTTTTTTCGA